TCTGGCAACACCTATCTTACAGAGCTGAACACAACAAACCAAGTAGCTCTATCCACACATCAAAGGTCTGTTGATAAGACTTCAACACGTTTCATCAAGAACTTTCAGTTCAGTTCCTAAAGGAAGAGCACAATCTCCCTTGGACTTTTTCCATGTTTCATTTGTAAACACACTGTATCACAGTGGATGGAATTAGACATTTTGGTACGGGTGCCATCACTTATTTTAGGTTTTATAGTTTTACTGAATATTACGGTGGCTGTCAAGGGCAAACCTGCTACAATGGCCCAAAACATTTCCATGTGTTTCAAAAACACATCCATAAAAAAATCCAAAACAAACAACAATGGAAATTTTGTCTCTGTAGTAGCAGTGTGTTTGCTGTTCATGGATTTGTTTTGGCTTTCTGGATGTGTTGTTTCATTTGCAGCACATTTCCATTACATTTGTTTAGGATTTGAATGTGGTTTTTTTTATTGGCTTGGGTCTGGTCAGCCACCGTAGAATTTAGATCACTTTGTAAACATTTGCTGCCACTTTGACATTAGTGTAAAAGAAATTTTAATAACATCTAGTCAAATTAAATGGTAAAAAAAAAAAAAAAAATCAGTTTGCTATTTCACATCCAAGCTTTTGTACAATTTTAAAAGGGGGCAGCCACTGTTGATATGTAGTTGTAGTGGTTCAGAGGGGCTGCAAAGATGCAGTATTTTCAACATACATGAGGCCTTTTTATCACAGCCACAGCAGGCTGCTTCTCTCTCCCACATTAAGGCAGCTTCAGTCAAGGTTCTCACAGTCTTGTGTTCATCCAATTGTTGCCCTCAATTAACTGGATTAATGTTGGTGTATGCCTGGGTCAGGTTATTAAAGAGATCCCTGCATGTGCCTCTGATTCCTGTCTGTAAACCTCAATGGGGCTGCATGACTATCTCTGAAACCTCTCAAATGTTTCTGCTGTGCCGCCCTTTGGAAGCTGACTGCCAAAACTGCTTGCCTTTATTTAACAATGCTGGAGAAACTGCTAACAAAAGGAGCTGAGTTGAACTTGAAATAATAATCACGAACATGTACTGCATGTTTATTTTTACCCATGTTTTTCATTAGTTTCTGTTTTTCAGTGTTCTGAGGAGGAGCATCTGTTTCTTTTTCTCTGTCAAACCTCTGTCCACTGTGTACTTTACATGTCTTGTCTGACTGACTGACTATCTTAATAAAAATGGCTAACCTGAATCTTGATGGCGCTGTCAGCAGCGGAGTACTCTTCCTTTTTATTGTTTCCAAATGAATCAGGTTCATAGACCATTTTCACAGACAGACATTTTGACTTTAAATAGCAGCACAGCTAGCCTAGGGACTGCAAGCTCATGTTTTATTTGCTCTGGCAGACGCCCCCTCCCATTCGGACAGATTTCAACCAGTACTGGATCTGGTTGGGTCAATCACAACCATTTATCAAATACGGGGCAGGTTTGAGAATGTACAGAGAAGGGTGACCTTTTTGGTTTTTGAGGCATTTTTGTCAACAATGAAGACGGCTGCCGCTGCTCTGGAGCAGTTTCTGTTGAATCATGTCATTATTAAACAAACTAAAGTTTGCCGTAATTCCAACAGGATTTGGTAAATTTAATTTCCCAATATCTTTGCAACATCCCATATTTCGTTGCTCTGATGTAGGTCTGGATGTAGGTCTATCCAATGTTGTCCAGAGGCATTGTGGTCTGCGCCTGCTGATAACACCCCATGGAAATTTTAAATGAAGTCAGAGATTATTTTGCATTCGCAAATTGGTCTGGCAATGCCAGCCTACAGCATAGTGGCAACAAATAACAATGTCTCAGCAATTACTGTGATGCCAGTCAACACTGTTAGCTAAACCAGTTTTTGACAAGTTAGTCAAAAAGTGCATACCCTGGTCATGCATGCATTCTCTGCAATGGCTCTGCATCTCCTCAGAAGATCTCATTCCCAATCCGTACAAATGAATAATGCTAATTACCAAGGCCAGTCGACTTGCCAGCTATGAGAATGAACAGGGTGGGTCAAACAGTATAGATGTTTTTGGACAGCAGAACCTAAACAGTTGCAAAGATATTCGTCTATTATGGATAACAGAAATAGTTTATATAATGTATGGTATGCACAGTGCTGCGCAGGATAGTTTTAAAGGGGCTGGCTGTGACATCAGGGTTTTGGTTCTCTATCACCAAAGTATAACGGAATGATGCCAACACTATAAAAGCAGTATGGGCCGTAAAAAGGATTAGCACTTTGTAATCATTTTTGTCCACAGGGGTATTACAAAGCCATATGTACAAACCGGTAACCTGAGATGAACACAGGATGTGAGAGACAGTGAAAACAGCATTTTCAACTCAACACTAATTGTACAGCTCCACTGTGCAGAGGAAGAGGCATGTCCCATCTGATCCCTAGAGTCTAATCTGTGATGACAGTTCCTCTGATGACTGTGTGTTTCATTACTGGAAACAGAGCAGAGAATGAGATAACATGGTACAGATGACATCAACAAGAGCGTTTCACAGTGCCGCAGGCATACATGGCTAAATCCAGAGAGAGAAATAGATTATTTCCAAGTCTTTAGCCCTTCATCTCAACTCAACCATAAAACATGGCTGTGCAATATAGTCCCTCAGCCAAATCATTTCCACTGGACAGATTCAATGTTAAAACACATCACAACTTTAACACCAAATCTCTGAGGAATTAACAAGCACATCCTTTTGTACACAAAAAACATAGCCATAATGAAATAAAGAGCAATTCCTTTAAAGTTAGCAGACATGCTAGCATTTTTAGGAAAATACAATATTAGGCATAGTTGGCATCCAGCTAAATTAGCAGTGTTGCTAAGTAAACAGAAAAAGCCAGATAGACAGACAGATATACAGTCTGTAATACTCTGCAGGTGATTGGATCAACCATCTCTCTATCACCATCTATACTGATGAACTTCCAATCAGATCAACAAACCACATAATGCAGTCAAACTCTTTCTGAAGCCAGTCGGAGAGAAAACAGATTTTCCATGGAGAAAAGCCTTCAGTGCCGTTGCTTGCTCTTTTTTCAGTGAAGAAATACTCTCCAGTTCTGATAGAACTGATGCTAGCAGCATCAACACGAACCTCTTTAGCAGTCACTTCTCACATACGTCATCACACACACCAAGTGTTAAACCACAACCGTAGCTCATTCCTCTGAGGAAAGACTGACTGGTCTGCTCAACTGTGGTTGGACACAAACCAATAAGTTGGATTCTCCCGTGATCCTGCGAGTCCACCTGCCTAGCGATGTTAGCATTGAATGAATGAGGTGACTTTTTAATAAACAAATATAACTAACTACATGGAAACCCTGGAATCAGATATAAGTACAGCACAGTACTTAAAATGTATGAGAATTTCATTTCTTCTGTAGAGACCTGCCTCGTCACACACTGTTCAACTCATAATGTTAATGGATTAAATTGTTATGACTATCCAGCTATGAACAGGGAGAAGTTAGCGTCCCCGTACGGGTGGCATTGGTTGGCCTTTCTGACCAGTCGCAGATGGTATCATGAGGAAGCTGTTTTTACAGAGACTGAATACAAGATGGCCAGAAGGACTCTTACAGTGAAAATGGTGTGATGCACATAGTGATTCAACAGGTATG